CAAGATTATCTGGTGAAACTTCTTTAGGAGGGAGCGCCTCATATTATCTATCTTCTGTAGTTTCTCATCGTTGATGGTGGCGATTGTCCGTACGATGCAGCCTATTTGATTGCCGTAGCACGAGCGCGCTTCCTCGGGCGCCTTTGGCTCAAAATTGCCGTCGTCCACCTCCGTGACCACCAGTCTAGTAGTCCTGAGTTTGTTAGGAAGCCGTTGCCTCTTTGCTTTCGGTTCTACACCAGCTCCGCTCCCCGAGGCAGCGCCGGTCTCAGTCTCAGCGTCGGTCTCGATGCCGGTCTGAGTCTCAGCGCCGGTCTCAGTCTCAGCACCGGTCTGCGTGTCGGTCTCAGTCCCCGATGCCACCGATGGGCCCAGCAACAACATCGGTTGATCGTCGGCAAGGCTAAAAAATTCGTCTGCCGCCCGGTAGACGTCGTCGCAATCACCAGAACCCTGTCCTTCATCGTTTTTTTTGCGGGTGACCTGTCCTTCATCGTTGCTAGCCATGTTTCCTATGATTAAATCTAGTCAATTAATTCTAGACCTAATAAAATGAATAATGACATAAAAAAGGCCTATTGTTTTGCAGGAACATCGACTCCTTCCTGGTGCGGCAATTCCCGGGCACTCGATATGTCCTAGTTTGTAGCACAAGTCATGCCGAAATTAACGGAAAATTTCGGCATGACCTTTGCTAAAAAGTGGACAAATCGAGAACCTGAAATTTGCCGGAATAGAAATGAATCAACACTCCGGCAAAACATAGGCCACTCAGCTTCATTCCCTGGAAACAACAAAGCCACTTGGGCACAATCGAACCACTTCAATGAAAAGATATAACATGAGCAAAAACTATTGAGGAATTTGCATATAACATGGTCACTTCAATGAAAAGATATAATCAACAATAATGGAATATGCAAATGAACATCAATGACATATATCATATAAAAACAATCTTGTTTTTTGTTTACATAGCAACAATTAGTTTGACCAAGTTTTTGAAAAGAAAAACAATTCTGTTTTTTGATTATAGCTAAATGCCATAGCTACTGTTTTTTATTTATAGTTAAATACTTTTGTTTTTTGTCTAAAGCTAAATGTATAGGAACTCCATTTTCTCTAACCCTTCTGACCTCACCAAAATTTCCACAGCAGGACCTTAGTACCTACACACAATTTCTTCAAAAATATTCAGGTCCATAGTCCAAATAATTCAAATTTCATTTGAATGAAATTTGGAATAAATTCAGGTCCGTAGTCCAAATAATTTTTATAGCTAAGTGTTTTTTGTTTATAGCCTCTGTTAATTTAAATCTAAATGCTACTATTATTTATATACCCTCTATTAGTTTAAAGCTAAATGGAATTACTGTTTTAGGCATTTTCATAAAAATTGCCCTAGCTAATTTCCTAAAAAAATTGCTAATCATTTTTCCTAAATGCTATAAAATGCCTACAGCCCTAAAAAAATCTAGGGTTCATATGAACATCAACACAGTATCAACAGGGGACAGGAGAGGCAGAGCTTTACGGTCGGCGGCGAGGGCAGGCTCTGGCTCGGGCGGCGGCGGTGAGGTCGAGGGCGGCGGCGGTGAGGTCGAGGGAGGCGATGGTGAGGTCGACGACGACCGTTGACCTCGGGGGGCGGCTGTGAGGTCGAGAGCGGCCTCGGGCGGCGGCGGTGTGGTCGAAGGCAGCCTCGGGCGGTGGCTGTGTGGTCGAAGGCGGCAGGGCGACGGCGGCGATGGAGCAGTTGGGGGATAGGGGGGAGTAGAGAGGGGGGAAAGGACTTAGCGAAATTTTGAGCCCAGGCTGCCGGGATTTGAGTCAAACTAGCAGTAGCGCGTTTTACCGAAACGTGCTATAGCTAAGATTTCTTTTTTTTCATTTCTCCTTTCTGTTTGTTCCAGAGAAACGCGCTACAGCTATTCCTTTCTGTTTTATTTTTCTTTTTCTTTTGTTTTCTTTACATTTTCTTTTTTTTCATTTCTCCTTTTTCTATTTCTTTCATTTTCATTTACTTTTCTACTTATTTTTCTATTTATTTTCTTTTTCATAGCAGTAGCGCTCTACAGCATAAACGCGCTGCTACAAAGTTTTTAGTAGTAGCGTGTTTCTGGGAGAACCGCTACTACTATTCCTCGCCTACCGGCATTAGTGAGGGAATTTTAGTAGTAGCGCTTTTCTGTGAAGATGCGCTACTGCTAAAATAATGGTTGTAGCGTGGTTTTGCAACAAGCGCTACTACTAAGTAGCGCTAGCGCCGAGTTTTGACCAACGCTACTGCTATACCTCTGTCTATAAGATTTTCCCTAGTAATGTTTGAATGCTCCCTCTTTGAAAACTAGCAGCTCTCCAACATAATCATTGCTACGAAGACTAAGGAGCATGAGTTTAGGAAGGGTCCTAGTAATTTCATGGTTTTACCTACCTTCAGTTTGCTACCCACTAGAAAAATCTTGACCAAATGCATCAAACTACCAAACATAGCACAACAACAACAACCATAGCTCACGAGGAGCACAACAACAACAACAACAACAACAACAACACAAACAAGACAACACAACACATTGTGCAAGAGGGAACATAACACATTGTGCAAGAGGCAACACAACACCAACTCGGCTTCAGTGATCTCGAATACCCAACCAGCCATCACCGGAGTTAATAAATCTCCATCTTCATCAAACCAAGCAAGGCGTGTGCCCTCTGACTCCTCAGTAGGCAGCCGCGCCCACTAGAACCGGCTACGCGGGCTGCCGTTGTCCTTAACAATTGTTTCGTTGAGCTTGAGACCAAGGTGCTCGGCTGTGACTGGCGTAAAAATGCGCAGCTCGTCGGACTCGAGCGCGGCGGCGAGCTTCGGCCACACGCTTGCACTGACGATCCAGGCCCCGTCGCCTCCAGGCGTAGCCGCCATCTGTACGAACCCTGAGCATAGCCCCCTGCCGCGCGTTGTCGTCATCGCCATCGCCGCGTGGCCGAAGCCCAAGTCCGTGTCCATGGGGAACGAGGTCATGGCCGTCACAGCCACCGTCGGGCAGCCCAGCCCGATGTTGGACACGTCCATGTAGGTGGCGCCGGACTTGTGCTGCTCGCCCCAGTAAACCACCTCCTGGAAGCGGTCGCCGTACCCCGGCGCATCAATCAATTCGCGCACCATGGACGCCACCTCCGGCAGAGGCTTCCGCTGGATCTCCTCCACGCCGTCCTCTCCCAGTAGGAAGATGGACGCGTTGCCCACATAGTTGGTCGTCGCGAGGGCGTGGTGCTCTGGCGCCGTGAGTCAACGCCGTCCGTCCACCCACCAGCCCATGCGGCAGCGCGTGTCAGCCGCCCCAACCACGGCGGCTAGGGTCTTCCAGATGTACGCCGACACCGCCTGGACCCGCGTAGCGCGGCGGCCGTCTCCGTCCTGGCTCGCCATCCCTCGGAGCCGGGATATGGCCTGCGCCTCGAGGTAGTACAAGCGGTGGACGGAGCTCGCCTCGCTCGTCAGGACGTTGACCATGCGATCGGACGTCAACGGCTTGAACGCGGCGAGTGAGGAGCTCCTCCTTGGTCTCCATGGCGTGGAGCTCGGGCGAAACAGGGAGCGGTCATGGGCCGGCCGGGCTCCCGGGGCGAGCCTGCCCGTCCGCCCGAGCTCCGACAACCCGCCGACGAGCCTCAGCAGCGTGGGGCCGTCGCCGAGCAGGTGGTTGTGGCCCCACGCCACAGAGAAGCCGCCGCACGCGAACGACACAAGCTGCACCGACAGCGGGACGTCGCCACCGTACGGCAGCGGGATCTTACTTACCGACAAGTCCATGCTGCTAAAGTCCAGGTCCGGCATCGCGACGTCGGCCACGCCGACGATGAGCTCCGCACCTTGGTTGTTGCAGAGGATCTCCGGGAGGCCTGTGCGGGGATTAGCTACGATGCGCCCAGCATGGGGAAAATAGTGGTTGAGCAAGGACGGCAACCCGGACTCGAAGGCGGCAACGACGGCGTGGAAGCCGCCGGCTGGACGCCTCGGGTATATGCACACCAGTGACATCGGGAAGGCACCATGGAGAAGGTCAATGTTGGACACGCCAAGGACGTGCTCCTTGATGGAAGAGTCGGAGGCCGAAACGAGGCGCCGGCTCATGACTCGCACATTCAGATCATTGCCCTTGTTGACGAAGCTGGCCATTACCACTCCAATATGCGTGTGCTTACTGCTAATAGCTCGATCTATGTGCTTAATGAGTCAGAGAGTTGTAGTACCTAGCTAAGGCTTGGCAAACTACATATTAATTAGCAAGATGGCATGGAAATACATATTAGCAGGTTGTTGGTACGGACCATTAATATTTCTTCAGATCTCAACAACCTTAACTATATATGAGTGTTAAAATACTATGAAAGTCAGCTCTCTCGGATCACTATTTTGGAATTTTTATTTTTTTCAAAGGAGATTCAGATCTATTGTAAAACTTCATTAGGGCATCTCCTACGCCTACCTGAAATGTCTTCGCTATATGTCCATTTTTGTGTCCGGACGTGGTCCGCGGACATGATACTCGAGTGAGCCATCCAATGCTAATCACAAAGTATCTGATTGAAGGAGAAAAAGTAGGTGGAGACCATGCATGTGCTGGGATTTGTGGGATTTATGGTGTAGTGTCCAGCTGGAGGAGAGAAATGAGAGTGGCGCCATGCATATGAAGAAGAGAAAACAGAGAAGGACCTCACGAAGGCTTTTGTTCGGTCAAGTGGATGTCCAGACCCCGGTATAACTCCCCCACGTTTCTCTCACTTTTGCCGGAAAACGGATCTCCGAATCACGTCACAGGGCAATAAAGGGTCCCCATTGTATTGCAAAATTGAACAAAAATGTCCGGTCAGACATATATCGCTGTTTTGCGGGTCTTCCTTGTAGATGAATTTAGAAGTTCAAAACACCTCAAACATAATAAAAATTGCATCGAGATTGCTAGACCACCAAACAATCAGATGTCTGACAAGCCGTTGTCACCACTCCCCTTCATAAATAGGAATCATAAAAAGTCAGCTCTCTCGGATCACAAATCGGGATCAACAAAAGTATCCACTTGACCAAATTAAAACTCCTCTCAAGTCTTTGTATAAGACAAAACAATCTCTAACCAGATCTGGGATTGCTCACCGCATCTCCACCGGACTTACTTCCTGTGGTTGCTGCTAATAGCTCAACTTATGGGATTAATGAGTCAGGGATGTATTTAAAACTTGCGAAAGTACATATATGCAAGTACATGTATTAGCAAGATAGGATGAAATATATATATTAGCAAGTTGCTTGTACAGTCCATTGATAATTCTTTGTATTTCAACAATCTAAACTATGGTTGTTAAGAAAACAATTATAAATATGAAAGTCCCAGAGAACTTGTACACCCCTTTATATAAGTATCTCTACTCCTAACGGAAGGGTTGGTAGGACCGCGTCTACATTTTTTTTTCGTCTGGTTTTTTTTGTTCATTTTTTTCCGTCTCACCTCCCACCACCACCCCCTTCACATTGGTTTTTTCATCGTCTAATAAAAACTTTCCTAACTAGCCACTTTTCAAACGGGTAGGAACTGATAGCACGTTACCAAACAATGAAATCGAGAGTACAAAGGCACACTAGTGGCACCGGGAAGTACAAAGGTGTCCACCCCCTCCCGCTGGACGCCTCGGGTATATGCACACCAGTGACACCGGGAAGGCACCATGGAGAAGGTCAATGTTGGACACGCCAAGGACGTCCTCCTTGATGGAAGAGTCGGAGGCCGAAACGAGGCGCCGGCTCATGACTCGGACATTCAGATCATTGCCCTTGTTGACGAAGCTGGCCATTACCACTCCAATATGCGTGTGCTTAGTGTTAGTGCTAATAGCTCGATTTATGGGCTTAATGAGTCAGAGTTGTACCTAATTAAGGCTTGGCAAACTACATATAACAAGATGGGATGGAGTAGCAAGTTGTTGGTACAGTCCATTAATAATTCTTCAGACTTCAACAACCTTAACTATGAGGGTTAAAAACACAATCATAACTATGAAAGTCAGCTCTCTCGGATCACTAATTGGATGTTTTTTTTCGGAAAGGAGATTCAGATCTACTGTGAAAGCTCATCAGAAGTACAAAACACCTCAAACATAATAATAATTGCATCAAGATCTCTGGACCATCAAAGGACCAGTAATCCACACGCTGCTCTCGTTGCTCCCCTTCATAAACCAGAATCTTAACTATGAAAGTCAGCTCTCTCGGAGCACAGATAGGCATGAAGAAAAGTATCGACTTGACTAAATTAAAACTTCTATCAAGTCTTTGAATAATAGTCATGTTATCCAAGGCACGGTAACCAAGGCACATAATTATAGACATGTTATGACGAAATTACCCTTGGCAAATTTGTTGGTTAGTGGCAAGTAAATCAGTTAGTCCTGGAAAGTAAGAGATACATGCAATCGACGGAGAGATACTTTTCTTCTTTTGCTACAAGGAGAGATACATACAATCAGGAGAGGGATAGTTTCCCTTTTTCTGGGGGGCTAACAACGGAATTATAAGGAATTAGAAGAAATGCACCTTAAATCTGGAATTTTATGAAAAAAATACACCTTATATAAAGGAACGGAGGGAGAATTTATTAAAAAAAATCTCTAACTAGATCTGCGATTGCTCACCCCATCTTCACCGGGCATATAAAATATTCCCTTCATAAATCGGAATCTTAACTATGGAAGTCAGCTCTCTCGGATCACAAATCGGGATCAAGAAAATGATGGACTTGTCTAAAAATTTCTCTCAAGTCTTTGTATAATACTCCCTCCGTTCCTTTATATAAAGTGTATTTTTTTAGATAAAATTCCATGATGTAAGGTGCATTTCTTTTTAATTTATCTTAATTTTTTCAGCCCTCAATGTCAAAAGAAAGTATCTCTCTCCAGATTGTGTGTATGTCTCCTCATGCAAAAGAAGAAAAGTATCTCTTTTTTCGACTGTGTGTATCCTTTTTTTCTAGACTAATTGATTTACTTGCCACTAACCAATGAATTTGCCACTAAACAATTTTGATAAAATATTCCCTTCATAAATCGTAATCTTAACTATGAAAGTCAGCTCTCCCGGATCACAAATCGGGATCGAGAAAAGCATAGACTTGACTAAATTAAATCTTCTCTGAAGTCTTTGTTTAATATTTATGAAGACAAAACAATCTCTAACTAGATCTGGTATTGCCCACCTTATCTACACCGGGCATATAAAATATTCCCTCCATTTTTATTTACTTCATATATTCGATTTTCTTGACGAAAAGCCTAAGGCCATATATTCAGTATCATAGGTCCTTACAAACATACCTATATAACTGTTGGAGTGGCTGAGCTTTAGCCCATTATTATATTTTATAATTCCTAGGGAAAATTCCTAGAGGCCCATATGACACATTCATGCATGACAAAGGGTGTGGAAAGTTTAGTCCCACCTTGCAAGTGTATGGTGTGCGAGACCAACATATAAGGTTTTTCCATACACCACTAAGAGCGTGAAAAGAAGACATATACACGTGTGGTCCTCCTCAGCCGTCTGCCTCGCCACACATGTGTTTTGTGTTTCGTGATTAGGCCGAGTCGCGCTAGAACCTATGCAACATACAACCTTAACTTTATCGCACAAGAAAAAGAAATTGCAATGTTTTTCTCTCTAGTGGGAGGCGAATCTGAACAATCATCCATTTTCTGCGAGCAATCAATTTCTATAGAACCAATCATCCAAATGTATTGCAACAAATTTTGGTTTGTTCACACGGTCTGCCACCATTCACGGCACGGGAATACCGGACACATGGTTGAGGTGCTTGCTAAACTTTTTTCTTAACATAACAGATGCAGGCGACCATATCTCAGAAAAACAATCACAAAAAATCTTTAAAATGTTGATAAAAACCATATCTCAGTCCCACTTGGAATTAAGTGATACGTACTTCAAAAACTATAATATTAACTATATTCCATTTTCATTTATTCATAGATTTGTTTCAATTATGAAGTTAAATTAAAATTAAATTTAAAGGTATATTATGTCGAAGTACTTTGAATTGAATACCTTTTGAATTTAAAATTTTAGTTGATCCGGAAATATTCGGTAGAGTAAAATTAGTCAGTGGTATCCCAACCATATCATTCATAAACACATATCGTATATTGTAATTCAAAGTATTAATTATCAACTTTTTATTTGTGTGTTTACATTCAGTTATATGACGTAGAATGCATGGAGAAGAAAGGACTAGAAATGCATTCACAAACTCTTATGCTAATTTAATAAATAAATGTAAAAACTCAGAACAAAAAAAAGGTATGCACTATAATGTATAGAATTTATTTCCAGGATATTGTGGAGGATAAGTGACAAGAAATAAGTCTAATTTTCAGCTACCATTGATATACCTTTATGGAAATATAAATACAATTAATATAGTTTGAAATATATTGTATCGATTAAAGTGAGTTTTTTTTAGACAAGTATCGATTAAAGTGAGTGAGATACAGAGTTTCTGCCCTGCAAAAAAAAAACACCAAATTTAAATGGGGGATAACAATGTCTCGGGCGAGACTCGGCCCACCAATTAAACACAGCCCATCGCGTGGCCGGCCGGAATTCTTTCCTCGCCCCTACGCGACACCGAGTCGCCGATGCCCTCGCTAGGCGGCAGCGGCGGGGAGTTCGCCGGCGTCCAGTTCCGTCGGCCTCGCCCCCAACGCCGAGGATCAGGTGACTTCCCCTGTCCCGTTCCCCTTCCCGTTCCCCTGCCGCCGGGACTCCAAAGTCAAACCAAAGCCAGAGGGGGTGGGCTAGGGCAGCAATCGATTTAGCGCATATCACTCTTGTTCTGCGCCGACGCAGCGAACGCCATTGCTTAGGTGGATGGTAGTGCCATTTGCGCAGAAAATGGTCGACAACAGAAATGGTGCATTTGCAAAGTAGGGATGTTAACAAACTGACATCAGAGATCAGACCATGTGCTTACAGAATACAAAAATGTTAGATAGATATCTCCAACTGAAAATTGAAACCAGAAAGTTAATATCATCAATGCGTAGGCACATAGGCATATTTGCAAAGTTACATGTAGAAGATAGAGCAGTCATGTACTTCCCCCGTTCCTAAATAATATAAGTCTTTTTAGAGATTTTAATAAAAACAACATACTGAGATATATAGACATATTTTAGAGTGTAGATTCACTCATTTTGTCCCGTATGTAGTCTGTATTGAAATCTCTAAAAGTACTTATATTTAGGGACGGAGGGAGTAGCAAGCATATATGATTCATGAATGATATTCAGTTTGCCAAACTTGCTCACACACGTCCTTTACAAAGCAGACTGAGTATAGAACTATAGATACAGTGGTAATCACCGCAAAATAAAAGATAAAAGAAACGGTAGAAGCAGCAAACAAAGAGTACCCAGTAGAGATCTTATCATGGTGCCATGAGTATCTGAACAGTGCTCTGTCCCAGTTCACGAGAATAGGGTTTGTGATCAATGGTGAAATACCGATTGTCCTCAAGCCCAACTGATAATCATGTTTACAAAAGACAGAGACCTCTGAGTACTAGTATGCAAAGTAAGACTGTCTTCAGATTTGCACGCGTGTGCCTCAGGTTGATCATCTATTCCAGTCCATGGTGTGTCCGAAGAATTGATTGTTATCTTGGAAGTTCGATCAGGGAGCTGGAGACAAGGTTGTTGCTTTGCTCCTTCGCCAAGACTTGGGGATGCATATCAGCAGCAGACCTAACCAGAAAGCTCAACGCGATGGTCGATTCCGGAATAACGATATATGCAGCCAGCATAACTAGTGGCAGCATCTTGTTTGGTGTAGTCCAACGCAGGTTCCACAATTCAGAACTGAACTCAAATGGTGCGGTAACATCCCCTATTGACGTGGATGCCACAAGTCGACGTCTTGTTCCCATCTGAAATGTATATACAAAGCATG